TTTCTTATTTTAAATAGGTGCCCCCATTTTTTATTCCATACTTCAATTCTCTGTAAAATTTAACATTAACCATTTTTGAGAAAAAAATATTTAAAATTTTTGGACGAAAAAAACTGCCTGTCAAAAATATGTGTATAGTCTAAACGTCAAATTTAGTGATTACCACAGTCACTGTGCGATAAAGAGAAAAACTGTTGCTATCTATTTCAAAAATTAAATTGTTTGAATGTCATATAATAATGGCTGCAGCTGTCATGGAATTGAGAGATTAAAAATGTATCATAAATCATTTTTTTCAAATGGCAACCCACTTTTTTTATTTCACTAGTGAAAAGGCTTTTCAATTCGTTACTTTTTGACTATACCAGGTATGTTCCTATACCTAAAATAAATCGTTTTAAGTTATTTAAAATTTAGTTTTAAAGCATACATTTTTCTTGATTTTAACAAGTAGTCTATGACTTTAAACGTCAAATGATGTAAAACAATAGATCTGGCCATGTCGTATTTTGACACTTTGTTTAAAAAGCAGTATGTTATCGATCATCATTTGCAAGCCAACTTTGCGTTTTGTTTTCAGGGTTGACACAGTACATTATTAATATAACTGATAAAATCAACTATTAGATATCACTAAGGAGCGAAAATACGTCAAAGGAAGCTAGATAAAATAAAGAAAAATGTACGTTTTCAAATTAAATCTTAAATAACTTAAAAACAACTTATTTTAGGTATAGGAACGTGTATAGTTAAAAAGTATAATATATAGTATAGTATATAAAATAGTATTAGCGAAATAAAAAAAGTGGGCTTCCATTTGAAAAAAAAATTATTTATGATAATTTTTTAATCGCTCAATTCCATGACAGCTACCGCCATTATCATATGACATTTGAACAATTTAATTTTTGAAATAGATAGCTGCATGTCTTCTCTTTATGTCACAAGTCACTAAATTTGACTTTTAGGCTATACACATTTTTTTGACAGGTAGCTTTTTTCGTCCAAAAATTAAAATTTTTTTTTTCTCAAAAACGGTTAATGTTAGATATAGAGGGTTTACATCAATATTCACAGAATTTCACAGAAAATGTAAGTATGTAATAAAAAATAGGGGCGGCCATTTAAAAATAAGAAAGTTGTAGTCAACTTCCGGTATTTCCGGAAGTGCCGCCATATTGAAAATATTTTTAATCGATAGATCTCGTTGTAAAACAATGATGTGCAAAAAATCTCCGATCTAGATATTGTGACTCTCTAGAAACTTCTAATGCACGCTCAACCTGGGATCTGGGACACCCTGTACATGGTGTTCAATTCCAAACAAAATAGTTAAAATCACATGCATATAACATTAGATTTACACTTTTACTAAAATATTTTATAGTAACTTTCAAATGGTAATATAGGTATACCGTATGATCGAAAAAAATGGCGTCCAGTTGGCTTGGAAATGACGATCGATGACATTTCCCATATAATTTTACATATAAAATGACAGCGATCTTCATTTCATAGCCATCGCTGACGCCGTTTTTATTCGATCATACGGTATTATGATCCTTTAAAAATAACAAAAACCTAGATACACTTACTATGGAATATAATTGGCTACCTACAATTCTAATATGTAAAGAATTAAATAATTAGTTAAATTTAAGTAAAAGTCTGCATTTTTACCTCAAATATATGCGCAAAAACCATATATACATTTATATTAAACTTTTATTAAAACAAGCTGTGCCTAAGGCCCCGTCTACACATAACGTTTTCATTGCCAGTCTTATCTGTTTCAGTCAAAACTTATCAAGTAACATTAACATTGTATATAGACGAAAAAACGGCTAAACAATTGTTTTTTTTTAATCACCAAAATTATTTGATACTTTACTATTAGAATATAAACGAAAATAAAATAAAAAACAGTTTAGCGAGCTTTTTGTTTAACGAGCCGGTATTGAACTCCGGATGCTCTGGACTTCCCGCTTTATAGACTGAACGTTTTCGCGCCGCGCTATGGAGACTTGTTCGATATATCTTGTTATTATTGATCTTGTTGAAGCAGTTTAATAGGTTAGGACATTTGGCGGTCTTGAGTAGCAATAGTAAATGCTTTACGCGAATCGCTGTTACTCAACAATTTTTTTTCTATTACTAAATGACAGACGCGCAGTAATTATTTTTTTATATATTAAAATTAATAGATTTGTTTAAAGAAATGTTGGATTTCGGTAAGGTAAAAATAATTATCAGTGACGCAAAATTTGTAAATTCTATCAGAAAAAATGGTGTACGATTTGCACACATTTTTCATTTTATTGATTTTATGGAAAGCACTGTTCATTAAAATGTTGTGTCTTATGTTATAGGGCGTGTTTCTCTCTACAATTTCCTATTTCACAATGTACCGTTTGTATCCGGGAAGAGTTCATAGTTTCATAGTTGTCGATTTTCGAAAGAAAGCAGTACATTTATATTATTTCGTATATTTTTCATTTTATTGATTTTATGGAAAGCACTGTTCATTAAAATGTATCCTATGTTATAGGGCTTGTTTCTTTCTACAATTTCCTGTTTCACAATGTACCGTTTGTATCCGGGAAGAGTTCATAGTTTCATAGTTGTCGATTTTCGAAAGAAATCAGTACACTTATATTATTTAGTATATTTTTCATTTTATTGCTTTTATGGAAAGCACTGTTCATTAAAATGTTGTATCTTATGTTATAGGGCGTGTTTCTCTCTACAATTTCCTATTTCACAATGTACCGTTTGTATCCGGGAAGAGTTCATAGTTTCATAGTTGTCGATTTTCGAAAGAAATCAGTACATTTATATTATTTAGTATATTTTTCATTTTATTGATTTTATGGAAAGCACTGTTCATTAAAATGTTGTATCCTATGTTATAGGGCTTGTTTCTCTCTACAATTTCCTGTTTCACAATGTACCGTTTGTGTCCGGGAAGAGTTCATAGTTTCATAGTTGTCGATTTTCGAAAGAAATCAGTACATTTATATTATTTAGTATATTTTTCATTTTATTGATTTTATGGAAAGCACTGTTCATTAAAATGTTGTATCCTATGTTATAGGGCTTATTTCTCTCTACAATTTCCTATTTCACAATGTACCGTTTGTGTCCGGGAAGAGTTCATAGTTTCATAGTTGTCGATTTTCGAAAGAAATCAGTACATTTATATTATTTAGTATATTTTTCATTTTATTGATTTTATGGAAAGCACTGTTCATTAAAATGTATCCTATGTTATAGGGCTTGTTTCTCTCTACAATTTTCTGTTTCACAATGTACCGTTTGTATCCGGGAAGAGTTCATAGTTTCATAGTTGTCGATTTTCGAAAGAAATCAGTACATTTATATTATTTCGTATATTTTTGATTTTTATTGATTTTGTGGAAAGCACTGTTCGTTAAAATGTTGTATCCTATGTTATAGGGATTGTTTCTCTCTACAATTTTCGTTTTTCTTTGTCCTAAGTTGTTAATTAAAAAAAAAATAATAATCATATAAAAAATATGGTAATTAGTCTAAATTTATTATTTATGTGATTCTGCTCTTTGCCGTATAATTTGCCCCTTGCTTCTCATACGGAAATAGTTAGATTAAAATAGCCAAACTGTACCTAACAACCCATGCCTTGACATCGCCTTTCTATTATTATTTTTTTATTTATCCGCCGGTCCAGACTCGAACGTCCTTGCCCAATTCGCCCATCAACGCCGGCTCTATCGACTTAAGTACGTGCTGACAGGCAGGTTATTGAACCCATGTCGTTTTTTCAAAGACGGGTCCCATATAAACGCGGCCAGGAGTATTTTCAATACTAAAACTGCTCCGAAAAATCGCTGCTACTTGTCACAGTGCTTTTACGCGAGCAGAGCATTGCAGCTCCAGAAAAATAGCAGACTAGCCCCAAGGACTGTATATATTCTAAAGCACTGTTCGATCGCGTCAAATCGCCGCTGTCTTATTCGCCGTGGAATGCTACGTCACGCGCTGACCAGCGCTCCACAGTGCGGCGGATGGTTATTCTAGCGGGACAAAATCTCAAGAGCAATGTTTGGGACTTAAAATCTAAGAACGTAGCAAATGGTATAATATATATAGCAACTATATGGTTAAATTTATTTATTTATTAACAACTTAATTTATTAATAAATAAATACAAGATAATAAAACGATATGATATTATTCGTACATGATACACAAAAACCGTATTGTAAACTATTGCCAAATACATAAAATTATGATATCAAAAAACTCTTTAGCAGTTATTTTTAAATTAATTTGTAATCTTGTGACACCCTCTATAATTTATTTTAAAAAAATATATTTTATTTTGAAAATAATAAATAAGATAGATATTTTAATTTTAATTTTAACACTCGGTAATTGTAAATTCATATATTAAGTATCTAAGACAATTTTTTAAACTCAGTGCCTTTTGATGGAGTTGTTTTGTTTTTATACTATCCGATTGAAATGAATCTTTTTGGGCATTCACCTGTTAAGCTTGAACTCCCTGTGACTGCGACTACCTGTGTTGGTAACTATTGGTAACTCAAAAGATCTACATTATTCAATATATCGATATTTGAAAAAAAAGTGAAAGTTTGATATCTGCAGAACAAAGGCACGAAGGATTTTAACAAATAATATACGTACAGTAGAAAAGTACATACCTTTGGCAATCTTCAACATAATTTGGCTTTCTAACAAAATGTATAAGCACTTGTAAATATTTTGTTTTCGTATGACCTCTGCCTTGCTGAGCAGAAAACGACCAAATTTCGTTGATAAAAATGTATCGAAATACAAAGAATATTCATGCACTTTTGTATCAATTGGAATGTCTACTATTTATTCTTATCAGTACACATTTTTTGGCTTATTTCTAACCAAACGCTTTTGTCCCGCTAAATTTATCTTCCAACGCACTGTGCGCTCGTCCGTCAAATGCAAAAATAACTGTCACTGTCTAAAATCTTTAGCGCCAACTTCAACTCGGTCAGTAGATGACGTAAAAAAACTGACAGTGCAGGAAGATAGCAATCGAACTATCCTTATCTCTATAGTATCCTTGGACTAGCCCACCTCTAACTGATTTGACGCTTTCACTGTGCGGCCAGCCTTAAACCGCAAATAAAACTTCCATTGTACCTATACGCTAGTTTTCACTCTGTCTTACCTGACAGATAAAACGTTGTATGTAGTCGGGGCTTTAGAATAATATTTTTTTATTAAGACAAATTCTGTATCTTACAATTATTATTATAACATTGATATTGCTGTATTACCAGAATCTCTTTCAAAATACGGTATAACATATGTATACAAATAAAAATAATATCATTAAGAAATTGAATTTTTATGCGTTCGAATTTTTTTGTGAATGGCGCTATGACCTGAATGATGCCGTTGTGGCGGTTGCATATACGGAGTTTTTGTCGTTTTACGCAACAGCGTAGTTGTGGGTGATTCATACCATAAATCTAACGAATACAATGCTGCCAATTGTCCGAGTTTCTCGTGCTCCGCCCCAAAGATTTTAAGTTCAAATTTAGTAGAATCCTGAAGGAATTTGGCAACACGTTCATTAGCCCCGGTTGAGATACTAAAACCTGGTCGTTCATCTCTTAATCTTCGACAACCTGTACAAGAAAACAATAGAGTTATGAAACTGGGAGGGAAACACTGGTATAGTCTATACAGAGTGTCCCATTTTCGTGCGTTTGAAAGTGAAAACCCATGAGTATGTATTAGGATCTATTACAGGAAAATATTTTAACTTCTGCAGGGTGGCTCAAAAAAGTGTGAGTGGATCATACTATACATTATTGAGCTTTTGCCGTCCTTTCTGATTGATCATTTTATATAATCCTAAAATATATTATTAAATTTATTTTTACAGTTTAGGAGATATTAATAAGTAAATAAAATACAGTCCTTGAATAAAAATATTTTTTTTCAGCATTTAAAAAAAAATATATTAAAAATACAGAAATATCGTGGAATCAAAATTATAGTAAGTATTTAGTAAAGTTGGTCTATACTTATTTTCCCTATAAATATCGTAATCTTAAACCATACAGGGTGTTCAAAATTCTATGCCAAACTTACTAAAATATAACAGAGTTTTCTTCGTTTTTTTTAAATGGAACACCCTGTATATTATTCCTTTATTAAATGGAGAATAAAATTGTATTTAAAGTATTTCAAAACTTTTAACGGTTTTGCCGGATATTCGTAATATTATACCGGGTGCGTCTCAAAAGTGGCTCACCCCTATAACTTTTTTATTTTTTCAGTTAAAAAAATGAGATTTGGTATGTTAGTATATGACATAAATTAGGATTCATTGACGTATACAATTGTTTTTGGTCTCTTCCTGTTTCACAGGAAATGACTACAACTTTGGCTTTTTAAATGGCACCCTCGGTATTTTTCTACTTTATTCGGTAGAAAATGACATTCTGAATAGAATGATATATCATATATGTCAACTTTTGACATTCTCGCTTAATAAAAACTCGTATTTTAAAATTCAATCTAGAGTGCCATGACTATGTTAAAAACACTAATTCTTAATCAAGGAGCCTTGGAAAAATAGATTTGATCGTCTAATGTTTTAGCGTCTTGTACTGGCTAGTTAGAAAATGCTCAAATCGTATTTTTAATCATATTTCAATTTTTTCAAATGGAACGAGGGTGGCTCATTAGCATATTTGGAAAGAGCATTTTTTTACGAATAATTTGATACCACACACTTGGTATTTCGAATCAAATTTTCGTTACAAACCGCAAAGTATAATTACAAACAAACCATATGCAAAAGTGTCAAATTTGACATATGATATGTCATTCTATTCAGAATGTTATTTTCTATCAAATAAAGTAAAAAAATATCGACGGTGCCATTTACAAATCAAAAGTTGTAGTAATTTCCGGTGAAACAGGAAGTGACTAAAAACAAGTGAATACGTCATTCAATCCTAATTTATGTCATATACTAACATACCAAATCTCAATTTTTAACTGAAAAAATAAAAAAGTTATAGGGGTGAGCCACTTTTGAGACGCACCCGGTATATATTTTATTTATTTATTTATTAATATCTCTGAAACTATCGAAAAATATTACTCATATCTTAGGCTTATTTAAAGTGATATAAAAGGAAGCTAAAAATGCTATAATATACAGGGTGTTCCGTTTAAAAAAATCATCCCGATCCACTCACACTTTTTTGAGCCACCCTATAGAAGTTAAAATATTTTCCTGAAATACATCCTCGTACATACTTTAGGTTTACACATAAAAACAAATTTCAAGTTTTTTATTATGGGAGCTACAGATGCCCGACGCACTATTGCCGAACCCTGTATATATGTACCTGCTCTAATTTCTCGAGGATCTTCACTCCAAGAGGTCTGATCCATTGTGGAGGAATTATCTATTGAAGGGGCCCAGTCTGTTAATTCATCATCACCTTCGTGTCCTTCACCTCCGCTCCAACTGATACTGCTTTCACTAGCAACTTCCCAGTTTTCGTCTTGAGTTTCCATCCTTGTTTCCTATAAGATTTTTTTTAATTTAGTTTTACTTATTACGTACAGCATGGACCCTCCCATACGACGCAAAGGCTCTAAGGAGAACGACAGTATATATTGAACTGAAATTTTGTGAGCGTTTATAGGTTAATAAGAGCATTTTTTAAAAATACATAGAATTCTCCAAGGTGTCCTGAAAAATATACCTATACCTATATTAATTGATTTCTGGAATATAGGAAAAAAAAACTACAGATTTATTAGATAAGTACATAGCTAAAATTCTTAAATGTAAATAAAAGATTTTATTTTTTTATTTTTAACAATAATCATGATAAAAAAAAACATTATAAACTACTATAGAACATCTATAAATTATTTTGATTCTCGATAGTTTTGAAAATTTTCCAACATTACCAGTTTGCAGTCAAAATATTGAACTTTGTACTACAAATTAAAAAAAATGAAATTAGATTCTAACAAAATTAAGTATCTATTTTAATGATGGTTAAGTACGATTTTTTCACACCTTTTCAGTTTAATTTTGTACTTCTAATTAATAATAAATAATTTTGTATGCCTGCAATGTATGTAGAAAATTCGCTCAGCTTTTTTTACACAAGTTTTTTTTTACATGTTAGCTATATGTTTCTCTAATGAAACTCATCTTTATTTTCTTCCTACTAACTTTTAGACAACCTGTAGAACTCTATACATTTAAAGAAAATGCTCTAAACTAATCTACATATGAAAGGCACCACCCTGTACATATAATAAAAAATTAATACTTCATCTAAAATTGGCGGAGATTGACAGAACTTTTCAATTTTGTCAACTACATTTTGATGTAGTGGCTTAATCTTAATTGTGTGTTTCAACGATCTGGCATTATCCATCATTTCCATCCTTTGGGATCTCTTTCTTTTGCCGGTTGGTGGAATTGGAGTTTCATCAATGCTCATTCGTTTTAGTTTCCTTTTTCTTCTCAAGCTTGGTCTGCTTGCTGGCGAGTACTCATTCACTGAATCTGATTCCAAACTATGACTGACCCCTAAACAATAATTTACACATAAAAACACATTTCAATCATCTATCACGCATTACCTCTAAAAAGTCCATGGATGGAATGCTTCATTCTTAGTGAATTCTTCTGACTCAATATTTTAGCAACAGCCACACTAAGACTAAGATCGTCCGAATCAGATTGGTGAAAACTTGCAAGCTTTGTTCGATGTTTGTCGAACTTGAGTTCGGAAGGGCTGCTTGAACTCTCCTCTGAATTGTTGTCAGCTGATTTATTAACAAACAAATCTAAAAAGAAAGTGCCCAGTGATTTGATCAAAAAACAATAATAGTACAGTATAATTTATAAAACTTACGATGTAGATTCCCTGCTGATCTGGTTCTCCTTCTCATTCCCCATTTTCCCGAGGGCTGAGTTACAATGGGACCGCAAGATTCCGATTCTTGTAAAGCAACAGTCAGATCTTGGGCAAGATGTTCCATTATTAAGAGAATGTCAAGCGAATTTGTACGAACTATAATTAAGACAGGAATTTCATTGCAAACATCTAATTACCACCTGATTTTTCGATCGTATCGTTAAATATCTAGATGGAATTAAAAATAATAAAAAAACAGCATCTGCCACATTTTAGTAAACAAAGATAACCTTTGTAATTTTAATATTTTTTTAGACATGTCAGATTACGTCAAAATTTTAATTAAACTAATTTTTTTGGGTTGCCTATATTTCATCAGTAATTCCAATGAGTGTCTTTAGTTTATATTAATGATAACTTAAAATTAACTATTTATTCACGAATATTGAAAATAGATTATTAAATTGTTATTTAGGCTGTCGCAACTGGATTTATTGCTCATTAGAGCAAGATTTAAAAGTATGATAAGTATTTTTAGTTGCCTACACATTGGAATTTCTGTGAAATATTTTATTTTTTTTTGGGGGGTAACTTTTAAATTCAAATTAATGTGACAAATTTGCATCTGTTAACAAGAAGGAAAGTCTTAAAGTTTCTATTTTTATATTGTTTAATATTTTACTATTAACGAACGATAATTTTACGTTAAAATCTTTTGACGTCGTTCTTCAGATATTTTTTTTATTAAAACCTGATATAAAGTAGGCGTATTTCAATTGCTGAAAAACAAGACGCTACGTTATCGACAGCGTTTATTATTTTTTAATGGCGATACAAAGATCATTTTCGGTGCTTCTTGATTCAATATTCCGATTCAAAAGCCGAAGAAAACCAACTGCACTGCGTACTCGCATGCGCTTCTACAGAAAGTAGTACCCGTAGTGTACCCGTGTACCTGGATGCCGTCTGAAGCACGTAAGAATAATGGCAATGGCAATGGTGGTTTGTTTATCGATGTATTTATTTAGTTTACTGGTGTAGTTTGGCACGGATGGATTGTGAAAGTTGGTTTGACGGACTGAATGCAACGTGCTCGATATGAAATGGCACTGGTAAGTGTTAATATTAGATACGAAGAGACAAAATAACATTTATCTTCATTGACCTATGGATTTTTTTTTGTAATATGAAAGTAACAGTGATGCAGTTGTATAAATATTTAAAATAGATTCGTTAATGATAGGAATATTTAGAAAGGTATAGTATAGGTCGCGCTTACGTTTAATATTTGCGCATTTTTTAAAATAAATTCCTTTATTAATTACATTAAAAAGCCAGTAAACTTAGTCTATATGTTAATAAAAAATATTGTCAATATAGTTACAGTCAGTTATTTAAATTATACCGTTTATATAGTTATATTAATAAGTTTTTTAAACATTTTAAGAATATCTTTGAGCGTTGAATCACCAGCGCTAGTACTACACGGTATGATCGAAATAAAAAACGGCGTCAAAGACGGCTGTGAATGATAAATCGATGATACTTTTAGCGAGGTCAATCTCTAGACGTCATTTGCTAAAAATTGACACAAAATTTGTGAAAAATTAACACCATTATTATATATTAACTATAGTTATTCAGTGAGTTAGTTCTGGGAGTTCACTGATAGATGGCTACGAGAATTGCATCGCGGGTCTTTCAAAAATTTTGATTCCCCATTTTCCCCACAGAATCTGAATTCGCCGTTGTTTCTCAACATCAGCCTACTGAGGTGTGTTCGCTGAGGAGACAGTGTCCTGTTAGAAACTTCGTGACAATCCGAAGATTATTTTTACTTAAATCAAGGGAAATCTTTGCTTTTTCTCGATCGTAAGTTCTGAGGAATATTTTCGAGTATCTTAGACCGGGGTTGGAGGAATCCCATTTTAGTTTACGGATGGAGTCTTCCAGATTCTTCAGTTCCGCTTTCAGTTGGTTCCCGCTTGGAAAACAGAACGGTTCTGGTTCAGTTAGTGGAGTGTTCGCTCCTTTTCTGGCTAGATCATCCCTTGGTGAGCGGGCACCCAGAGTAGGATGACTTTATTTTCTTTGCCTAATTTGTTGAGCTTCTCTAGGCATTCTTTGACCAACTTCGAATTGATGGTTACTGAGTTGATCGCGTTTAGTGCTGCGTTTAGTGCTTGACTATCGGATAGGATGGCAATTTCCTGTTTTCTGTGGACATACTGCTGTTTGTTTGCCATTGCCAGACGAAGAGTCTTTTTCTGTACTACAAATTCTCTATTTTTTGAATAATACTACTTAAAATAATGAATGGAACTACGAATGGGGATCATATAGTTGGGGATATGGACAGTGGCAGAAGAAAAATAAAGAGAAATAAAGAACAATCGGTTGTTTTCAGTTATTTCAGATATCATAGATATCTGATATATTGATATCTGATAGATAAGTAAGTTTCTTTCAAAAAGCGTGGCAGTTTTTTTTTGTTTGCCAAAACTCGAGAAAAATGGACAAAATGCATCATTTTAATTAACTGAAAAGAGTTTAAAATTACCTTTCCAATAATATAGCACACTTGATATTTTGTTATAATCCCCTTCGAAATACAGAATTTTTAAAAGTTCGCCACTTTTAACTAGTAGGCTTTGGACCCTTTATTGATGATATGCCCTTAATGGAACTCGAAAACATATTTTTCCAGCAAGACGATGCACCGCCTCTGATCGCTAAAGTTATCAGCAAATTTTTGCATCCAATTTCAAGAATAATTGAATAGCCAACCAAGATTCCAGCTGTTGGCCGTCAAGGCCGTCTGACTTAGTGCCCATGAATCTAATCCTATCGATATATTTGCGGAAAAATAAAGGTTCCTTATTCTTCCCTAATCTAGACAAAAATTAGAAGTACTTAGCAGTTATGAGAGGGTATCTTTCACCCCCACTGAGTTAATGAATTCCGCGAAAAATGTTCAAAAACTGCCCCGTCTGTCCATAACAGAAGACGGTCGATATGTCGAACACCTATAGCAAAATCTCATGTCTTGGTTTGCTATTTATTTTTCTTTGTTATTTATTAGATATTGTTTAAATGTGTTGATGTTGATTAAATATATTTTAAATAGTTATAAAATTCTGCATCTCTCATAGCAAATATTATTTTCGTTTTAATAGATGCTCACAGCTAGATTTTTTTGCATTACAGCCGGTGCCGTTCAAAGCCTACTCATTTAAAGCATTGATATTTTGCTCGATTCCTCTTCGAGTTATAGAGTATATAAAAATTCGCTTATATACTCTATAACTCGAAGAGGAATCGAGCAAAATATCAAGTGTGTTATATTTTTGGAAAGGTAATTTTAAATTATTTTCAATAAATTAAAAATATGCAGGGTGTCCAATATAAAAAATCAAATTTTCTGTTGATAATTCTTAAATTATTAATTTTAAAAAAAATATACTTAAACCATTAAATTCTACGTAAAAAGGTGCTTTGGAAATGTTTTCATAAAAATACAAAATTTTCCATAACAAAAAAGTTACAACGATTTGTTAATAAATGCATATTTTTGAAAAACATCCCGTAACTCCGAAACCTCCTCCTGTACATTACTTTAGTTTTTGTCAAATTCATTTTGAGACCCATTTTATTGCTGGCTGTATTTAGTTCGTTAATTTGGGCTTGTAGTTCTTCAGGACTATTGGCGATCAGAACTATATCATCAGCGAATCTTAGATGGCTAAGATATCTCCATCTATTTTTAATTCTTTCTTGGTCCAGTCCAGTTAACGGAAGATTTCTTCCAGTGTTGCTGTAAACAGCTTTGGGGATATCGCGTCTCTACTCCCCATTACCTCCTCATTTCCTCCTCGGACCTACAAATTAGTACGAAACTCTCGGTGGGCGAGTCTAGCATGCCTGTGTTCGTTGTTTTTTAGTCTTTGATTTATTTTTTATTTACTTTTCGATTTTTCTTTTTTTCGTCTGTAGATAGGATTGTATATGAACAGAAAAAATAGTTGGTCGTAAAAGGTACACATTTATTATGGTTACCCTATAATCAAACATGCGTATGAATAAACCCCTAACCTATACCATAAAATAAAATGTTATGTTTTAATACGAGGAAAAACCAGAGCAACTTTTATTTATGTGTAGAATTTATAAATTAATGGATATACATTTGCGTCATCATTATGTGATATGTACATTTAACTATAATTTTTGAATAATATTCCTAATATTATGGATTGATTGGTGTCAGGTAGTATACTGATAATTAAATTTTTATTCTCTCTGTCATCTGTAATTTCTGGGCGCTGAACGCGCGTAACCGCTTACTACTCTCAGCCTCTTACTTGGAAACTATACAGGGTTGTTCACCACATACGACACGAAGTATTGTAGCTAAACGACTAGATTTTTACAAATTGTAAGTTTTGGATTCGTTGAAGGACTATTAGAGCTACAATTTAAAAATATTTTTACAAAATACAGAGTGTCCCAAATAAATAAAAATATCAAAGTTGTATTTTTTTAAATGGAACACCCTATATATTATTATATTTTTAGTTTCTACGCTTAAAATAAAGGTAAATTTGATTAAGGTTTATTACACTTAAACCTTACTGTTTTTGAAATATTTTCAATTTTGTGAAATTGCAGTATAAATTTTAAGGCTTCATTTCTCCGAGGGTATCAAAGTTTTTATTACTAAATATTTACTGAAGTTTATTTATTGATCAGTTATTGTGTTGCAATAATAAAAACTTTACTACCTTATACAGAGTGTCTAAAAATTAATTTTAAATAATTACTAGCTTTAAACGGCAATAATTTGTTTAATTTAAATGGAACACCCTGTATATTTTATGAGAATCAGATGCACAATTTAATTGTCTATCAAATTGTATTATACCATTTTTTACCTATCTCTTCAAGTTTCCGTAGAAAATGCATTTTCTTGTACACATTTTTTCAATAAAACGTTTACATGAATTTCTCTATCAATAAATTTCATAGACTTGTTTATCAAACCGTGTTCCCGTAGATCCCCATTTTTTGAACACAACCAAAATAATATTAACTAAACAAAACTAGAAAACGTCATTTTTACTGCATCACAAGCAAATAAAAATTAATACGTAGCCAAGAGTCATAATTCAGTATTTCTCTGGGGGGTGCCCAGCAGTACCTGGGGGGAGCAAGGGCGCATATACGGGAGGGGTAATTACCCCTCCCAGAAAGAAATTAATTTATTTTAATTATTACTTTCGAAAATCGACAACTATGACATTTTAATGAACAGTGCTTTCCATAAAATCAATAAAATGAA